ACTAGAAAGAGTTGCGGGGGGCAAAGACCTGAAAGCCAAGCCCAATTAAAGAATTGTATACACAGACAGAATATAGACAGTGTATGGTGGTGTTCAAGAACCACCGTCTTTATCTGAAATGTTTGTGCTTTAAAATCTGTCTGATTGTTGTCCATTTCATGCGAATAAATGTGTGTTCTGCCTTCTGGTCAGAAGATCTAATTCCCCCTCCCCTGCCAGGTAAATGGCAATGAAACTGTGTCTCGCAATCAACATTTAGGATTTCTGAGGAAAGGCAGGAAAAACAAAGGACTTGTCATGCTTTACTAGCCTCATTTTATGGGATTTTTGTCACAACTTTGGGACATCTGTTTTTCTCTGATTGACAGCAGGGTAATACATATTATCATTAAAAATAGGTTCTGAGGAAATGCATGCTCTCACCTTGCTTCTGCTGCAACTGTGAAGGCTTTTGTTTTCACTGCCATCACTGTGAAGATAATCTCTACAAAGAGGCTCCGATATTGACCTGTCGTATCACATGTTGCTTATCAAGCACTAAAGAAATTGAATTTCATTTTATCTGTTATCTGGAGCGTCTTATTAAATCATCCTGCAGTTGAGAGGTGGTTTGGGGTCAACAGATTCAGTCTCTTTTGCCATCTATTCCTGGATTATTAACCTTTGGAGAATTACTGAAGCTGTTCTTTATTTTACCCCATAAAGTTGGGTTAAATCTTCTTGATCCAGAAGTTGTTGCAAGTGAGTGCCACGTGCCTGTATTTCCTTTACTTAATGTAGTTTCTGGTTGAGGAATGAGGACTTAGTAATCTGTATAAGTGTAGAGGTCTCTTTTATTATTCTGTTTTTTCTGTTCTTTCGATACTCTCCCAATGCCTCTGGTTTTAATTGGTTCAGTGAGAATAAAAACAGTCAGATCAGATGATGGATCTGAGTCAGCTTGGTAGTATTCCTTTGCCAAGAGATAAAGGGAGGGTGATGAGGAGGAAGATAACAGGGTTGGGTATTGCCAGGCATTGAGCGCAAAGGGAGGAGAGAGAAGTTGGATGTAAGCAGAGGTGGGAATGGGGTGGAGGTCATGGCAGCAGCCCGTGGGCACGACGTGTCTGGCAGAAGGGAGCCTGCCCTCAGCAGGGAGACTTGGGGGGGGATATAAAGGTCAACCCTGCCGCCACCACCACCATCCATGTGCCTTTTTGCCATATTTCTGTTGGAAGAAATGACTCTGCCAGTCAGGATGTTCACGTTTAAGAGCTTGGTACGGTCACAGGATATTGAATTTCCTGCAACAGCAGAAGCCCTAAGTACTTTCTGCTGTCACCACAAGGAACTGCCTCCAGTGTTAAATATATTTTCTGCTGGAGAAAAAGGCTTGAAAAAATAAATTCTGAATACCCCTTCCCGAAAATTTTGGTTTTAAATACAAGATTTAATGCAAAAAATATGCTGTTTCACTCAAATTCCAAACTCTCAATCAAGAAATTTTCAAATCGAATAAGCCAAACTACTGTTTTTCAAATAACTTGTCCTTATGCTCAGATATTCACTTAGTGTCTGGGCACTGTTACGCTTTTTCAAACTTGTTCTAAGACAATCTGCAAAAAAACTCCTTTAAAAAAGAACTGGAGTTGAGGAGTGGAGTTAGCATTTTCGTGGAAGCACTGCCAAATAAAGTGTAAATGAGCCCTCTGAATTGCTGCTGCTAGCTGATGCTGTCTGGTGGCCAGAGCACCGGTGACCTGGGAGCTGGGTACTGTTCAGTTTTCTTACGGCCCTGGCAGTAAATCACCTTGTAGCTCTGAACAAGTTATTAACCTTTTTGTGTCTCTTTCTCCTCGCAGAAAAGGATTAACACCACTTACCTGTCTCACAGGGGTAATTGGTAGATTAATGTTTGGAAAATACTAAGTGCTTTCTGCTATTATTATTGAAACTCCAGCTGATAGGTTAAGAAATGAACAGAGATTTTGGGAGTGTCTTATTTCTTCCCTCTTTGGCATAGCGTGCCGATTTGACATGAGTAGTTCAACAACGAAGTGAGAAGTCATGGGCTTGAATGTCCGTGTATTTTGCATAAAAGTTCTGGATGTGACTGAAAGAGGAAAGGTGAGCAAACAACAACTGGGAAGACAAGATGTAAATTGACTTACTGGGATTAGTAGCACTGAAAAAGTATCCAGAGATCAGAAGAGAATGCATAAATTGAAATTAAATCCCAGCAGGATTAAGAAAATGTTCCAGTAAAATGCGAACCCTGAAGTGTGATGGGGAAAGGGAAAAACAGCAGGTGACCACTTCTTTTCGCCCCCATCGAGAACAAAGTTATTCTTAATGAGATGCTGAGATTTTGGGGAAGCCTACTCAAAAATTCAGTAGTGTTTTATCTGAGAAAAATACTTATTCGAAGATGGTTTTCTACTGAGGTGTTACAGATGGAGGCTTTGTGGTGTGGTAGTTTAAAACAATTGGTCTTTACCTCGAGAGATCCCCGAGATGAATGTTGCCCAGAAACGAGAGTAAAATTGTGTTTTTAAAGCATCATTTTAGGAGCAGTGGGACAGTTGGCAGAGTTTACCAAAGCTGTTGAGAGACTCTGCAGACTTTAATTACCATCTCAATATTGCAGAAGTTGTTTAATTCCTGCCAAAGAAGGGAATAATTGTGAGAAAGCGAGATCACACTCTGTCTTTCATTCTTTCCTTTTTGACAGGTGAATAAAGGATGCTTTTCAGTATCTCCTCTGATACTGCGACACATTTGTAAAATTTGCATAGAATTGTAAAATAATTTTTCTTTAAGATTAACAAAGCTTTTCTTTTTTCTCTTCTCTTTCAAAAGTGCCATACAGCATAGTGTGAATGCAGTTTAAGTCTTGTCATGAAAGAAGCCAGATGAAAATGGAGTGCATTTTCTGTTACTGATTGGTCGGCTTCAAACATTAACAGTTTCAACCTTCATGGCCAGACAACATGTATGACATTGTGTTTATTTTAGAGGTTCCAATAAATTTTAAATTCAGGTTTGAATTCCGTCTCTGGTGTGGGTGGTTGAAGGCATAACCTGGATTAGTAGAATAAAGAGGAAATTATTAAAATGAGAAGAATCAATCCATTTTAGAAGGAAAAATAAGCCTATAATACAAAACTTCCTTGGTGAAAGATATGTTTACTCTTTTAGGCCTCAAGTCTAAATCAGAGTATGTATAACTAGGTTTTTTACTGCATTCATATGAGAAAAAGGGCTGATAATTTTTTTTTTTTTCTTCTAGCGGTTCTCTTCCTCTCTGACACCTGAGTGTGCTCGGGTTTTTTCTAAGTGCTTGCAGTATCCAAGGAAATACTGATTCTTTGAAGACTCTTACCAGCTCCTTCAGTAGATCTACTGTGTTGATACTTTTTTTTATGACTGCCTCACACCTGTCGGTACTTGCTAAAGCACCAGCCATTGTTTACTCTAAAAAAAACCCTTTTTTTCCTCCTTCTTTTCAAGTCTCTTATCTCTCAAGGACCTTTTCAATGCTATCTTTCAGCTTCAGATCTTGGTTGTCACAGTATACAATAAGTTCAGAAAACTACTGCCCAGGAAGTCAAAAATATTCATTTATCATATCATATAGATGATAAATCGGTACTTAACGGCAAAGGGAACATGCTTGTTCAAAATCCAGAAAGGGAAGGATAGATCATGGAAACAAATAGGCACAATTTTTAATCCTTAACACTCATCATGTTACTAGGAATACCTTTATGTTATATTTAGAACTTGGTTGTTTTGGTGTTTGAAACTAAATGTTTGCAGTTTGTCTGGCAAACTGCGTGCTGAATAGATTACACTGATTCACATTTCCTTATTTCAATATACCATCTGTGCTTTTGGCAGGTTGTTAGCCTGGTTGGGACTCTGATTTCATAAATGCAAGTTACAAAGAACAGTTATGCCCAGAAAGAGAAATCCTATATTTTACTTCCTTGAATAATCTCAAGTGTTTTGACCTTACACCAGCAAGGACACGAGGCTGAAGCTGTACCTACAGCAGGCTTTATTTTCTCTGGTGAAGAAGGATGTAGTAGCAGGGTAGGAAGATCCCCCTGGTACATTTCCAGTGAAACTCTAGTATATATAGTCATGGTCATGATTTTCATTGTGTAATCATTTTAATTAAGTTCAGCGATAAAAGTTAGTCTTGCATGAGAAATGAATGCACTAGAGAGACAATGAAAGATTGATGACGGCTTGGGGAGCATCACATACTCTGCTGGTGGAAATGCATGTGTAGAGAGCAGCTGAGCTTGGGTCGCAGGTCAGAGATTACCAGCTCAGAGCAATGTCCAGGCAAAGTTTTGGGGATCCGAAAGAAGCGGGATTCAATGGGAATATCCAAAAGCATTTTTGGTAATATTTCTGAGGGCTTTTGCTTGAATGAATAGCTTCATTACTAAAATAATAAACATTAATTAATATCTGCATCATTTTGTAACTGCTAGCTTAGTAAGGTAATTAGTATAATTAGTATACAGCATTGCTTGGTGGCATGATAAATCATAGTGTAGTGAATGTCGACTCTTTACCACTATGATGTATTATCTAATTTACACAGGTAAGAAAAAAAAGGTAGGGGGCATATCAAGAAGGGAAGCCAGCGGTGACAGCTGGGTGGCCTTTTGGTCACTCTTCTTGCATCTGCTGCCTGTATTCTCAATTGCTTTGAATTGCTGCACTGTTAATTAACAATTCTTTTTCTCACTGTTGCTAAGTCTTAATCACTGATTGAAACCTGCAAAGAGACGCCGGAGAAGAACGAAGGAAAAAAACAGAGACTGGCAGATTTTTTCCCTTCAGGGTACTTGTACAAAGGATGATACTTCTTCCAGTGATAAGTCTGTGTTTGTTGGGTATCTCCTTTGCTTTCACATTCCTGGAGGCATCATCTACCAGTTACAGTTCAGTGCAAGGATGAAGAACGTTAACGATGTTTTTCTTCATTATATTCTGTTTTCTAGAACCTATGAGAACACCAAAAACATTGAAGATTGCCGAGATCCAGGCCAGACACATCGCTGTGGATTGGGAATCTCTGGGCTACAACATCACTCGTTGCCACACATTCAATGTCACTATATGCTACCACTACTTCTGCGGACACAACGAGAGCAAGGCAGACTGCTTGGACATGGACCCCAAAGCACCCCAGCACGTTGTGGATCACCTGAACGAATGTCAGCCTCAAAATGATCTTAACCAACCCAGAAGGGAGGAAGGAGAGCGAGGAGACCATTATCCAGACAGACGAAGATGGTATGCGTAAATGCTGTTACGGAAATTACATCCAAGTCCAGGCTAGGCAGGTGGAAGGAAATTACTTTGTGTGTTACAATATGTGTCCCGAAGGATAGTAGTTCTCTTCTAGTAGTGTATTAATTAGCCTTAAAACAGTAGCTTTAAAGGTATTACAGCTGTCACTCTGCATATATAGCCCAAACTGTCCATGTAGCACAAGTCAAACTCGAATCTCTCTCTCGCAAGAAAAAGGAGGGTGGCTTCCCAGTCATTCCAAAAATGTGCTAACACAGGTGACAAGAAACACGTGGTGGTGTTAGGTGAAGGCTTCTTCACAGTATTAGGTGTAGTATTTGAAAATTAATTTGTCTATAAATTTATATTTAAATATTGAGTTCAGTGCTTAAAGACTCTATTCAAGATTTAAAACCTCTTCAGCAAATATATTTGAGCAATAATTTATGTTGCAGGTTACAGTGTATAGTATCTGTTAACTGTTTGAAAGCCACCCATCAGGTTGAAGTATTATTTTGACAACTTGAGAGTTGGACTCGATGATCCTTAAGGGTCCCTTCCAACTCGAGATATTCTATGATTCCTCTTTAAAAAGCTCTCGATGAAGTTTCATTGACAAGACAGTTGAACTTACCTTACCTGGGAAGAAATAAAGAATGGATGTAGATGTTAATGGTGACATTCAGTGGTTAGGCTATGAATCTTGGTATGAAAGAGATTAAAATAAAAATAGATATTTTTCCCTAACATTTAAAATGTGGTAGTAAAGAGCAATTTTAGTTTCCTTTTCTTATATTTAGATTTCATTAAAATACTGACAACAGGAAAATGAAAATAGATACTGCCATCGGTAACAAAAAAAGCATACTTGGACTAATGTAGGAGTGTGGATACATAAGAAGATAAAATTGAAAAAAGTAGTGTGTTTGCCTGTAAAATGGAGGAGAAAGTATAGCTTTATATATCGATAGGAATCAAGGTTAAAATCTGGTAGCACTTTTTTGCCATATATTTTCAATTTTACAAGAAATGGAAGAGGAATGTGTTTACTGTTGCAATAAAGAAGAGAGAACAGCTTATTAAATAGGTAGAATATGAGGAGCTGTAGAGAACTATAGAGATACAGATGCATCACATGAAGATTTATTGACAAGTACAGAATTAGAATATTTCATGCAATTCAAATTTTAGCGTTACTTTTTTAAAAAGTTAATTATAAATATAATCCATGATTAATTATTTCTGTATCTGTGTTTACATTATAGATATTTGTGGTTGCTATTTTCCTTGAGGTTAAGAAAAAAAAAAAGTAGTAATATTGTTATGTCCGTGGAAAATGGATTTCTTTTTCTTTTTACCTAAGTTTTCAAGAAAGGTGATGGTTTCTGATAGCCTTTATCTAGTTAGATGTGTGGAGATGGTGGCTGGTCACTATAGCGGTGCTTGTCAAGAGCAGAGTCAAGTGCATATATTTTGTCCTCTGGTTTTGTTGTGGATTATTCTTGGAAAATGATGCACACAAGGCAGGTTTTGGTCTCAAGCTAGCACGCCAGTGTGCTATCAGTGAACTTGTTTAGGCTCAGCTTTGGTGTCAGAGGTACCATAGTGTAGAAGAAGCTTCACCCAGTGAATAAAAGTTGCTAAGGTAAACTATTTCAAGCAGATGTTGTTTTCCAGGAGGGATTAATACATTTTAAAAGGTACCTATACTTAGACACACTGGTGGTAATAATGCTTGTGACCTGAAAATTGCCTCTTGTGAGGTCCGCTCAGTGATATTGGAAATGAAATGCAGATTTTTAATTGTGCGTTACTGATTGACTTGAAAGTCTGTGTCCACTTTGTCATGTATTTCAAAATACAGAGCATGCAAGCAATGTGCAATACGGAGGGCTTTCAGCTGTCTAAGAGGATCAAAGGTGTATTCACACCTGCGTCTCTCCTCGAGCTCTCACAGCAATAGTAAACTGAGTTCTGTAGTTGACTGCCTATGTGTATGCTGCTAATTTAGTCCCACAGCCAAGTGATCAAGTATCTGTCTGAAACTGTTTTAAAACACAGTTTGCAGCCTAAAGCAGGACTCGGACTAGGAAGATGAGAGCTACAGGAAGATACCTGAGTCTGTGCCCCACATATTTCACATGTGGTCAGAAGTAGCCTCATTGTCACGATGATTTTTGCAGGTTTTGTAGAATGAGCACGATGTTAATTACATAGTGAGGACATTAACGGATATCAGACATTATCAAATAACATTAATTAGAAATAGCCACTGATTACATGATTATCTGAACCTGTGCGCTTATGTTGCGTACTTTTCATAAATAGAAACTTTGAAAACTCCAGATGACAACAACAGATAATTAACTTTTTGTTAGCTTTTCTGTAGTGCAGTATTCTTTCCAATGCCATTCTTTCTTACAAAGATCTGCTAATCAGGTAAAAACTTTGTAGACTGTTGGAGTTAAAGGTGTCTACCCCACATTTTCTTGTCTCTTTTCGTCTTTACCATTTCGCCCTCATCTTCTGTTGCTTCGTTCATCTTCCCCACACTTCCAGCTCTCTGTCCCTTTCTTCTCTTTTTTTGTTGTTGGTTTTTTTTCACCTTTCCCTTCATCTCTCTTCTTCTATCGTTCCACCTCCTCCCTTCTGCTAGGAGCTTTATACATATTTGAACTTCTGGCATTCCCTAAATGCAGAGGACCTCGGACCTTTGCGGGGCTCTGGCGTGAGACAGTGAGGATCTCTGGTTGTCTTTCACGAAGGTTCACATCTATATAAGGCTGCGTAGCTGGGCCGGACCTCCCAGAGTGGTGAGCGATAACTGAGCAGTGTACGGTACCAGGAGCAGAATTAACTCAGGAAACAGTTAGTAGAAGAGCAGGGTAGGATTCAGAAGCTGTGCTTCAGACCTTTGGAGCCATGACTGACAAATGAGGAAGGTTTTAATAGCTTGTAATTCAGTATCTGCAAGAAAGCAAAGCCAGGAATATCGGTCTGAAAATAGCCTCCTTTCTGACCAGAGCTAGATCTGAATACTCGGTGGTTTTAAGTATTTCTATTTAACTTGGATAGATGGAATTAATCTTTAAAGTATATTATAGTAATTTGCAAAGAGCTGTATTCCACGTAAAAATTAAACCCTTGAGCAATACACTGTTAAACAAGGTGTGCAAAAAGAAGATGAAAACAAGGAAATGTGTCAGCGTTTTATGGGTGAAACACCATCTTTCACTTAGGGGAGAGACCACACTATCACTAAGATTTGGGAGAAAACTCTTCTGAGTACCCGGGCAACTTGGCGTTATCTGTGCCATGACAGGGTCTCACTGCTTCACCTGGCTTGTACAGGAGATGGACAGTGTTTGAAGGATTTGATAAAGGAAAAAGCGGAAGGCTCACACAATCTGGGGATGCATACATTCTGGGCAGAGATGATGGTTGGCATTTCAAAGAAGGTACAAGAATCAGCAGTGAATTTATCACTTAGCATGAATCAGCAGCGTGCATGCGTTCTCGGAGCTGCCTGTTCACAAGGGCACTGCGAACTCAGAGGGACCCTTTTAAAAGCAGTGGATGGTGAATGGGATTAAAGCAGATAAATGCTTCCTTAATTTTTATTTGGAAGCAGATGCAAAGGGCAGTGGATTAACAGGGATAGTGACATTAGCTCTGAGAGAGCAGCTGCAGAGAAAGCAAATCGTGAAGCTCAGGGTGTTCGATGGTGATTTTATAACCAGTAAGGGAGTGTGTCAGCTAACAGCAGGCAAACAACTAATTGAAAAAGATCACTTGGAATAGGCTAAGTACCCATTTTGGGGCTTAAAGTATACCAAAGCTTTGGTCTGAGCCAAAGGACATGCTCATTGGACACAAACAAGGCCCCCTGATCTTTCAGAGAGTATGGCTCATTCAGCTCTGTGCACAGATATCTAAAGCTGCGATGCAGGGTTAAGACACCAACTGTCCAACCATTACTCATGCTCCTGGGAAAACTCCAGCAGGCTCACCGCTCTGGGAAACAGAAGAGAAAGGCAGAAATGTTACAACTGGAGGACCAAAAAAAATTTTAAAAAGTCAAATATTTAGTGTACTTTCTAAATGTGCGGAGAGGAAATACCTTCCACCATCTTTGAGGGAGGATTTTATGGAAATAGTTGACATTTAGTATTTTTCTGTGTTTGATAGTAGGGCTGTGAGTTGCCTTTACAAAAAAAAAATAGAATTTTTTTTTTTCTCCATTCACTATTTAACATGAGAAGGACTTTTCCTTTGTGCTTTTTCAAGTTGTTCTGGCACCCCAGGAAAATACTGGGGGGAAGAAAAAAGAGGAGGTAGAAAATATGCTTCAACCAAAGAAAACAAACAAACAATGCTTCAAGGAGCTTTGGAAATACATAGATATAAAACTCTACTAGTAGCATTGTAAAAGTAACAAAAATAGCCCACCTGGGAGAAAAGTTAATGCAGCGAGATGAGCAGGCAGTATGTCTGATGCTGCAAAGGAGGGCTGCAAAGATTGCTTGAAATGGCAAACTGTCTCGAAAAATGTGTAACTTATCTAGCTGAGTGACACGTGCGTGAATGTCAAGTGAACCCGGTATACTAATCCTATTGGGGAAAAAACTGGCAAATAATTGCAGTTAATAAAGAGAAACCCATGACTGGGAGATAAAAGTTTAAATGTGAAGTTGTCCATAAATGCCGCTGCTAAAGGTATTGACCCCAGTCCTTGACCAAAAAGGGAGACTAGTGACCTACGTGTCATGAGCAGCGGCAAAATTTAGTGTCAATACAGTCAAATAAGGGAGGAAGTTTTGTGTGTTTAGCAGCAGTGAACCGAAACTGATTATAACCGACCTATTGCCATTAATAGAAGGATCCGGGAATAACCTATTTGTCCTTCAGCTCATGAAAATAACCCAAATTCCTTTTGTCAGATGGTAGGTAAGATTTGCTATTGGCATATCATTGAGAGAGAGAAAAAGTGGTTGCAGAAAGAC